GCTGTATCCCTGACCAGCCATTTCACACACCATCAGTTACAAGGAAGACCATGCCAAAAAGTACACAAGAGTCTATGCCAATCCATCACCACTTCTGGGAACATAATTCAAAGACTGGCTGTTCAATTGAGATTGCTTCAAAATCATCTTTGTTCCTAAAGGCCAGCTTTTGTAATGTGATTCTAATGAAAATGTTACATAGGTTATTTTAAATAATAAAGCCATACCTGTCAATATCTTTTTCAAAGACATACTTTCATTTCCTTACTTAATCTGTGGCTAATTCATAATAACGTACGTCAAAAGTCAAGCTTATTGAAATATGCTTTATATTGATAATGGGATTCAGGGTTTATAAGAATATATATTTAACTCATGTCTTTAAAATTTTTCAACTGTTGTGATTAAATGAGTGAAACTGCACAACCATTGGCTAAAGAATAAATAGTTAAAATATTTATTTATTTATGTATTTATTTATTAGGAGTGATTTTTGTGATTATCAAGCGTGAATGACAGATTTTCAGTTTATACACATATTTCCTCAAAACTCTTTTCTCCTCAGTGCAGTTTCTTTATAAAACCATATTATACTTAGTCCATTGTAGATGTACTATTGTATTAATATTGATATACTGGGCTTATTAGTGGTGTTAATTTTATATGATTTGAATACATGGGGGGAGAGAGACTTCTGTTCTCTACTATCAGCAAGAAAGAAGTACTGTTTATACTAAAATTGAATCTATGACTTTAGGTAAAATGTGCTGAAATACTAAAGCAAAATATAATCTCATCATTAATAATGGCATAATGCTAAGATCACCCATAAGATATGAGCATTTTTTAATCATAGTATTCTTAATCATTTTCATAAAACACTATCTGAGTTTTATTTTTTAACAAAACCTTTTGAGTCACTTTGATAAGGTCAACAGAAAGCAGTCTTTTAACATTAGGTGATCAACTTTTTGACAATAACAGGACCAGCACAACTAATGGAATAATAGCCTGCAGGGTCCAGCTAAATATGATATACGAACGTAATCAACCTCTGTGATGACTATTCAGAAGTAATCCCTTTAGCTTTGAACTGCAACATATATTTCAACAAGGCAAAAAACATATGAAGAAATTCTCTGCAGACCACACTGATACAATACAGCCTTCATATCCTGCTCTATGTGTTTGCTGCTTATAGTGAGTTTTAAATTTAAGGTAATGACTACTGTATATTCATGTGAGCATACAATACTTTTGATTTGTTGTGGAAAGGTTGAATCCATTATCAAGGGTCTAGTCTATAAGCTCTGACACAACCTTTATGTATAAGTTATTATTTACCCTTTTCTAGATAAAGCCCGCTAAAACTGTTTTGCATGCCAAAATTATAAAAATTCATTTACATTTTGAGTGACAAAACTACCAGGTAGTGTCTCCTCCATTGCAGTTCACACTCCTCTACAGATAGAATTTTCAAAATCTCATTTATATAGAATACTATATTATATGAAAATTATATCCCATTGTTTTCAAGTAAAGGGATAAGATGCTAGGTTCATTGCAATTTACCATTTGCTGACTTATTCTAGGGCTCTTTGGTGCAATATAGGCTAAGTTGTGGTATAAATGAGATCCTTTTGTTGCCCACTTGAGGGAATCTACCATTTGAGAGTCTTTACTATTATCAACAGAGAAGTGCTTGTTTCTACTGAAATGGTAGACCGTATAAACAAATATCACACTCTCAACTTTGTGGTGGTTCTAGTCTCCCTTGCTGGAGTAGTGTTGGTCCTAATCTTCCAGCTTCCTTGAAGTCCTACAGATCAAATATCTCACATCACACTCTTAGTCAGACCCACAGCACAAAACCTAGGTTAAGAATAAAAATGAGTGCTTTTGCAACGATGGAACCAAGAGTCAACATCTGGGGAATGATTCATACCCCAACATCTGGGGAATGAATGCTAAACAATTATTTGAGACCGAAGCATAATTTCAAACTTGGAAAATCTAGGAAATATTTCTCTAGATTAAGAGAATATTGTTACATCTGTCAAACCAAAGGGAATTCTGAGTGTAAGACATTAAATAGTATAAAATAGGAATTAGGATCTTAAGAAGTTCTATATATTGAGATGCAATGAAAAATATTAAACTGAGAAATCCAAGGTAGTTCTTTACCTGGAAGAATGATAGAACATATTAGTTAAGGTAAAAGCTAAGCTCCTATTGCAAAGAGTCTCAAAAGTACGATAGATTAAGAATATAGAAGTTTGTTTCTTCCTTAATCTTAAAGTGAGGCATCTACATTTACAAGGTAGCCTCAGAGGCATTTAGGGGACCATGATCTTCCATCTTGCTGCTCCACCATCCCCTAGGGCAGAGTTTCTCAATCTTGCACTATTAAAATTCTGAGATGGATGACTTTTTGTCGGGGACGTGGGTGGAAAATGGCTGTCATGAGCACTGTAGGATATTTAGCATTGCTGGTCTCTACCCACTATATGCCAGTAGCACTTCTACTACCAGGTGTGACAACACAAATGTCTCCAGACATTTGGGGACATTTCCCCAAATGCACCCTGTGGGGCAAAATCACCCCCAGTTGAGAACCACTGACTTAAGGTGTTGTCATTGTCTGCATGATAGAAACTGAATCACAGTAATGGTTCCATCTTCAAGATTGAGGAAAAGGGAAATGTTAAGGAGGAATGAATGCCCAATGTCTAACACTCAGAATCAGAAGCAGTAAGTTTCATTCTGTCCACATTCATTGGTGAGAACTTAGTCATGTGGCTTCAATCGAATATTTATATGCTGATGAGGAAGACCTAGTAGAGAGCAAAAAACCTGATAAGTAAGAGACAGAAGGAATTGCTGGAGCTATGTCTTGTGTGTGCAAGAGAGGATGAGATCTAGTGAAGAAGTAGAGGGGTTGGCCTTAGATGACAGCATAGGGAAGATAGAACATATAGAACAGAAGCCAGAGGGGGAATAACTCTCAATACAGAGTTGTGGGAAATTTTTCCTACTGTCTTTTATTTCCTACATGAAACCAGAAAATAAATCATCAGCTGAGAATGATGATGCATATGGAGGGTTAGAGGTTTGAGAAAACAGAAGAAACAGTCAAATAGTGATTTAGGAAAGTAGAAGAATGAATGGACTAGGAATGTTTAATATGATGGCCTGTAAGCATTAGGGTCCACCTAAGGTCTATGGCCATGAATTTAAAGTGAGGCCTGGTTGTATTTTTTTTCCAACCATGCTGAGCTATACAATGCAGGAGAGGAATAGGCAGAGAGTTGGATTTAACTAGGGTTATAGTTTTGTCAAGTGAGTATGACAAAATGGGAAAAGGGTAAGAAAGTCAGGCTATATGCAAGGGGGTGAATGACCATAGAATTTAAATTGTATAGAGAAGGGAGAGAAGACTTCAAAATGGGGAAGAACAATGAAAAGGTGGTAGGATTGGAGGTCCCAGTGAAGATGAAGAATTGTTGGTGCTGGGTACTAGGGGGAGTGATCTAGAAAGACAAAAGCTGGCAGTCAAGTAGTTGAATGCTGGAAACTAAGTTTGAGGGGGGCTTGCAGTTACTGGTAATGACAAGGTCCAAGTATGACCATGGGAATTAATGGCTGTGGTAGGGTAAAGGACAAGATCTAAAAGAACAGAGCTCAAGGAATTGAAACCCAGGGTGAAAGAATCTTTTACATGTACATTTAAATTGCTAAATTAGTAAAGTAGTAGTAAGATGACAATGAGCCAGTGATAAAAATCAACTGAGAATGATCCCAGTTGTAGGTGGATCACAACAATAGCTGATTGTATAAACTGATGACATGAGTTTTAGGAAGGGAATGAGGGAGGGTGATGAGGAGGACACCCACCCATCTCCAGGTCCAATAGTATAAAGACTGAGGAAAAGAAAAACAGAAAGAGCTTTGGGGCTGGCAGTGCCCTCAGAGGACAGCCAAGTTTCTGTTAGAGCAAAAAAGTAAAGGGAATTTCAGAAAATAAAGTGAGGATACAGTGGAAATGTTTCAGGAGTTGTGGTGAGTGGGAGATGGGAACTAAATAAGAAATATGCAGAGCCTTATGAGAAATAGAACACAGAAAATGAAGAAGAACCTGGAGACTGAGGCCTGTCATAAACAAGGATAAAGAGCATCTCATTAGATTAGTCCCAGTGGATTCAAGTCAATAGTAAAAGGGCAGATATGAAAGTTAAGTGAGAAATTAACATGTCTATTTATATGTTTAAACTTTCCACATCTGATTTCATTATTTGGATACTTTATATTGCTCTCTAAATTAATTTTCCTTCTGAGTATTGCTTTAACATATCATCTTATCCCCAAAAGGTGGCTGTTCCAGTTGCCATTTTATGTGGGTTAGGACTTTGAGCATGGCTTGGCTAGACATCAATTGAGAACCACCAATGGTGGTACTCAGCTGACAGATGCGCTGTTTTGAGGGGTCCAAGACAGCTTCATTCACAGACTGGAGCCTTGGCAGGATGGCTGGAAGACTGGGTTCAGCTGAGACTATCCACTGGAGCATCTATACATGGCCTCTCCAGGATGGCAGTCTCAGGATGGTAGGACTTTTTATATGGTGACTGGCTTTTTCCAAAGCAGGCATCCTAAGAGAATCAGGTGGAAGCTGCATAGCCTTTGCTAATCTAGCCTTGGAAGTCATGCAGTCACTTCCTCTACATTCTATTGATTACAAAGGAGCCCTAAGCCTAGCCCAATTTCAAGAGGAGGGGAATTAGATTCTACCTCTTGATGCGGGGAGTGGCAAGGTCATATGTTGAGGAACATGTAAAGCAGGGGATATCATTGTGGCCACCTTTAATCAATGCAATTTGCCCTGGTGACACAGGTGATGAGTAGATATCCCTGAAAAGAGATTCCCAGGTTCAAGTTCAAAATAACTGTAAACTGTATTTGTGATAAACCATTAAATGTGTACATCTCTTTTTCTTTAGGTGAGTCTAGAAGATCCACAATGGAAAATTTATCTAAAAACTCAGAGCATTTGGAAGAAGAACTAAGTGGGTATGATAAATCAAGTAAAAAGTTTCTATTAAGTACCCATATTGTGTAAAATACTAAGTATGATCGAATTCTCCAAACACAAGAAGAGTAGTTTCATCTAGCACTTGATAAGCTAATACTGAAATACTGTTTTTAAAAAATATTACAGATTTAAATATCATATAAGGTTAAGCTTAAATATCACATAAGGTTGATCTCTTAAGCTATGTCTGAAAATTACAGAAAACAAAAAATATTTTTCAAAGGAAGTGTCTTTTACTTTCTAGCTCAATATCAAATTTAATTGTATAATTTATTTTATTTCAGATTTCCAGGTGATCAAAAAAAATGAGACTTAAACCAGCTTTTGACTCAGCAACAAAGCAAGAAGAAATTTATCATGTCACCTCAGTCTTTGATGCCTGTAATAGGAGTATGTTACAGATAATACAGATAGAGTTAAAATAAAACTATGACTGTGTTTTCATTGGATTCTGTATTCCAATGTACTACTACAAATTTAGTCTAAAACATCTAAATCCATGAAAATAAAATATACCCCAAATGCTTGAAATATGAAAATTATCCATAAAAGAAACTATAAAATTTTTCCTCTTATCCACTATTCCACAAGAAACAGTGCTATCATAGAATCAAAATTTAGTTGTGTCTAATGAGAAAATAATTATAAGCTTAAGGAAATCTATGCTGAATTAATGTGGAAAAATATTTACTAAAATTCCAGGGAAGCTTTTCAACATAAATAAAAGGATTATAAGCAATAAGGACTCTCATATTGGTAAGTACGGTTCAAAACTTTGCTTACCTGTGTAAAGGAAAACTCGGTTTCCTCTACTCATACCACTTCTGACACCAAATGCATGAGTTTTTCCACACCAAGCAGTTCTCCAATTCTTGGAAGATGCTAACTGGGTATCTTACAATTTAACTCAATTCTGACACTAACTGCCAGGAGTCAGCACAGACCCCACAGATTAAGGGATCAGTTCCACAAGGCTATTCCCACTTCAGATGCCAATTGCAAGTCCCAGCTTGTCACTTGTACTTCTGACTGACTTGGCTACAAAGAGGGGATTCCCATAAACGTCTCCTCAGCTTCAATAATTTGCTGTAATGACTCACAGAACTCAAGGAAATACATACTTACATTTGCCAGTTATAAAGGATATAATAAAAGATATAGATGAACAGACAAATAGAAGACATGCATAGGGCAATGTATGAAGAAAGGGGCAAAGAGCTTCCATGCCTTCCCCAGGTGTGTCACCCTTGCAGCACCTCAAGGCATTCACCAACTCAGAAGCTCTGTGAATCCTTTCATTTAGAGTTTTTATGGAGGCCCCATTACCTAGGCATGGTTGATTAAATCATTGACCGTTGGTTATTAACTCAACCTCCAGCCCCTCTTCACCCCCAGAGGTCAGGGGCAGGGGATGAAATCTCCAACCCTCTAATCACAGGGTTGGCTCCCCTGGCAATGGGCCCCCCATCCTAGCAGCTTTCCAAAAGTCATCTCATTAACACAAACTCAGGTGTGGTTGAAAGGGGCTTGTTATGGATAACAAAAGATGCTCCTTTCACCTTTAACACTCCAGACCTTTTTCAGGAATTGGGGGAAAAAACACATATTATAACAAAAAATGCTCTTTTTACCTTTATTTCTCTGGAGCTGTTTCGAGCCAGGGACAAAAGATCAAATGTTAATTTATTGTATTACATTAGATTTCTGTGCCAAGAACCAATGATTAAGACCAAATATATATTTCTTATTATATTACAACATTACACGGTATAAAAGCATATATTATGATACTTTTAGCTGATAGTATGTAATATAACTTATCCATGTCAATTTAAAAATGTTAAGAAAATCCTTGTTTTAGGCTCCTCTCCTAATGAATCTTACAAAGTGAGAGGACACAGTTGAAATGATTATGTGTATAATTTCTGGAGATCTGCAGGTCTAGGAGAATCCATAAATGAAGTACTTTTCCAAGAATAAAGACTTTTACTCCCATTTTACCTTGGTCAATGTACACTTTAATTCTTGTTCCTTTGAATGCTCCTAACCCTAGAATACTGCAGTGTGGAGTAATTCTGCTTCCATATAATAGTGAAGCATCAGCACTCTGTCCAAAGAGATAATTTGATGCAAATACCCCAAAATTGTAGATGAGCTATATCGGGGAAGAAGGGATTAGCCTTTGTTGTTTATAGACTCAATAGAACCAATTTCCAAAGCATCTTTCACTCCTGACTGCTCTTTGGCTGTGCCCACAGACACCCATCTATTGCTTTGCCCTAAAATTAGAATTAATGTGTGTTTGTCTCTTTAAAGCACCCCCATTTGTCTACAGAAAATCTTGCAAAATATTGAGACAGAGAAATAAAGTGATTAAGGAAGGTCTCTGAGAATATACCTTTGATAAATTAACAAACAAGGAGGCCATTAGACTGAGGTGGTTCTAATGACTTAGCAGCCTATATAAACAAACCAAAACCTAAGACTGTAAATGCCTCCAGGTTAAGAAATAGAAACTAAGGACCAATTATAAACAAGCAACTAGGCTTTCCCAAATAAGGCAATTGCTTAAGCTATAGCTAATCAAATAATTGCCTTGCTTTGCTTCCACATCTTCTCTACAAAAATCTTGCTGCTAGCTCTGTCAGTGGAGCACTCCTAACCTTTTCGAGTTTGGTGCTGCCAAATTCAAATTTATTTTTGATCAAATAAACTCTTAAAAATTATTAAATGCCTCAGTTTATGTTTTAACACCTTCTATAGTGATCACCATGTCTTCTTTTTCCAGAAATTTTCTGGTTTAGCTAGGAAGAGTCATTTAAAAAGATGGTGCTGGGCGCCAGCCCAGTGGTGTAGTGGTTGGGTTTGTGCATTCTGCTTTGGTGGCCTGGGATTCACAGGTTCGGATCCCAGGCATGGACCTATGCCCTGCTCATCAAGCCATGCTGTGGCAGGCGTCCCACATAAAATAAAGGAAGATGGACATGGATGTTAGCTCAGGGATAATCTTACTCAGCAAAAAAAAAAAAAAAAGATTATGCTGGTCAGTAACAGACAAACAAGTCAATGGAACAGAAAAGAGCATTCAGAAATAGCCCAAATTATATAAAAAATTTAGTATATGATAAAAGTAGTATTTCAAAACAATTGGGAAAGCATAGTGTATATAATAAATGTGCTGAAACCAGTGGTTATCTGTACATGAACAAAATCCATAATTTGTTCCCCATCTCACATCATCTAATTATAAATATACCAAAATCAAACAGGAGACTATGGAGAATACCTTCTTAATTAAGAAATCAAGGTCAAGTGCAGAGTGAACAACAACTACAGCATAGACAACTATATTAAAAATATTAATATAGTGAAAAGTTCACTAAACAAAGTTGAAAGACCAATGACAGCAGGAGAGGAATTTGCAACAACAAAGAAGCTAATCTCTGAAAAACACAAATAATTTATGGAAAAAATAATAAGCAAGAAGATGAGGAGAAATAAGAAGGGGGAAAGAAGAAGAAGAAGAGAAAGACAACCTAATAGATAAAAGGACAGAGCATAGCATTTGAACTTAGGTTCTTAAAAGCTTAAAATAGACTTATAAATAAAAGATGTTTTATGTAACTCTCATGGTAACCACAAAGCACAACCTCTAGTTTACAAAAAAAATACAGAGAAAGAAATCTAAGCATACTACTACAGAAAATCATCAAATCACAAAGGAAGAGAAAAGAGAAGAAATAAACAAAAGAATTACAAAACAGCCAGAAAAGAGGCTTTGTTTTTTGTTAAAAACTTTTTTTAAACTCTCAATAAATCCATACCTATTCACACTTACTTTAAATGTAAATGGACTAAATTCTCCAATCAAAAGACATCGAGGGGCCAGCCCTGTGATGTAGTAGTTAAGTCCAGCACACTCCACTTCAGAAGCCCAGGTTCATGGGTTCAGATGCTGGGCGTGGACCTACACCACTTGTCAAGCCATGCTGTGGCGGCAACCCACATACAAAATAGAGGAAGATTGGCACAGATGTTAGCTCAGGGCTAGTTTTCCTCAAGCAAAAAAAAAAAAAAAGATATTGAATGGCTGAATGGATTTAAAAAAAAAAAGACCCAACTGTATGCTGCCTACAAGAGAGTTTCTTCAGCTTTAAGGACACACAGGACTGAAAGTGAAAGGATGGAAAAAGATATTCTATGCATGTGGAAACCAAAAGAAAACTAGGGTAGCTATATTTATATCAGACAAAATAGACTCTAACTCAAAGACTGTAATAAGAGACAAAGAAGGACATTATATAATGATAAAGGGGTCAATCTAACAAGAGGATATAACATTTGTAAATATTTATGCACCCAACATAGGATCACCTAAATATATAAAGCAAATATTAACAGACCTAAAGAGAGAAATAGATAGCAATACAATAATAGTAGGGAACTTTAAAATCCCACTTTCATCAATAGATAGATCATCTAGACAGAAAATCAATAAGTAAACATTGGCCTTAAATGACACATTAGATCCGATGAACTTAACAGACATATCCATCCAAAAGCAACAGAATACACATTCTTCTCAAGTGCTCACAGAACATTCTCTAGGATATGTTATATATTAGGCCACAAAACAAGTCTTAACAAATTTAGGAAGATTGAAATCATCTCAAGCATCTTTTCTGACCACAATAATATGAAACTAGAAATCAATTACAAGAAGAAAACTGGAAAATTCACAAATATGTGGAGATTAAACAACATGCTACTGAACAACCAATGAGTCAAAGAAGAAATCAAATGAGAAATTAAAAAATACCTGGAGACAAATGAAAATGGAAATACATCATACCAAAACCTATGTTATACAACAAAGGCAGTTCTAAGAGGAAAGTTCAAGGTGATTAATACCTACATTAAAAAAAAAGAAGATCTCAAAAAAACAACCTAACTTTACACCTCAAGGAACTAGAAAAAGAAGAACAAAGCCCAAAGTTAGTAGAAGGAAGGAAATAAAAAAGATCAGAGTGAAAATAAATGAAATAGAGACTAAAAAGACAATAGAAAACATTTATGAAACTAAGAGCTGGTTTTTGAAAATATGAAGAAAATAGACTAACCTTTACCTAGACTCACCAAGAAAAAAAGATGACTCAAATAAATAAAATCGTAAGTGAAAGAGTAGACATTACAATTGATATAACAGAAATGCAAAGGATCATAAGAGACTACTATGAAGAGTTATACACCAGCAAATTGGACAACCTAGAAGAAACAGATGAATTCCTAGAAAAATACAACCTACCAAGAATGAATCATGAAGAAGTAGAAAATATGAGCAGACTGATTACCAGTTAGGAGATTGAATCAGTAATCAAAAACCTCCCAATAAACAAAAATCAGGACTGGATGACTTCTCTGGTGAATTCTGCCAAACATTTAAAGAAGAA